GTTTCATATACATTTTAAGATTAAATTTTTTGTTTTTCTAAAAATTGTCATTTGACTTTTGGCAGAAATTGCATTGATTCTTTAGAGCACTTTGGGAAGTATAGATCTTTAAGTATTACCAGTTCTTCTAATTCATGACCACAGGATGTTTTCCTTCTTTTATCTGCTTATAATTACTTTCTCTAACATATTTTACACTTTTCAGTGCACAGGCATTTCACCACCTTGGTTAATGTTTTTTTAATATTTATTTTTTGATGTAGTTGGACATAATACTTTTATTTTATTCATTTATTTTTTTATGTGGTGCTGAGGATGGAACCCAAGGCCTCACATGGGCTAGGTGAGTGCTCTATCACTGATCCACAACCCCAGCCCCCACCTTGGTTAATTTTATTGCTAATTACTATTAATATTTTTTTGGTATTATTCTAAGTGGGGTTGTTTTCTTGATTTTTTTCTGATATTTTTTAGGGTATAGAAATGCTAGTGATTTTCTATATCCTAAAACTTTACTGAGTTCATTTGATATTACCATCAGTTTTGTTGGTAAAATTTTGTGTTTTGTCTATATAAGATTATATTGTCTGCCAAGGTACTGTTTGTCTTCTTCCTTCCTTTTTGATGTGGGTCTCCTTTATTTTTTTCTCTTGGATGGTTACTTGACTCACATTTTTTGTAATTGAAGACAAGTGGTGAGAATGGGTATATTTTATCTTTTCCTAATTAGAAAAAAATCCACCCCCCACTTAGAATTTGATGTTTGCTATGGATTTGTCATATATGGCTTTTATTGTGTGGAGATACTTTACTTTTACACTTACTGTATCAAGTTTTCTAAACAAATGATGTTGAATTTTATTTAATGCTTTTTCCTTTTTCTGTATTTATCAAGATGTGATTGTACAACTTTGTCATTCATTCTGTTAGTGTGATATATCACATCTGTTGATATACATATGTTGACCCATTCTTGTATCCCTGGGGAAAATCGCACTTGATCAGGGAGAATGATTCCATTAATATGTTAAATTTGGTTTGCTAATATCTTGTTAAATTTTTTATCTATGTGGGAGGAATATTAAACTTTAATTGTTATATGTATTTTTTAGTTGTAGATGGACACAATATCTTTCATTTTTATGTAGTGCTGAGGATTAAACCCAGTGTCTCACATGTACCAGGTGAGCACCCTACAACTGAACCACAACCCCAGAATCTGAACTTTAATTTTTATTTCTTTTTTTGTCATAGTCTTTAGCATTATTGTAATAATGGCTTCATCAAATGAGTTTTGAAATATTTCCTTTTCTTCAGTTATAGAACGAGTTTGCAATCATTAGAATTATTTCTTCCTAGAGTGTTTAGTAGAGGTGAGCAATGGCTCTAATACCTTGGGCTTTCTTTGGAAGAATATTTATGACTGAATCAACTTCCTCACCAAGACTCTTGCTTTTATAACACTAGTTTCAATATCATTTACACAGAAAAGATACTCAGTAAAAATTCCATTTTCTTAAATTGATTAGTGCTGTTTTGTGTTCTAACATATAGTCTATAGTTCAGAATGTACTAGGGGCACTTGAAATGAATGCATATTCCACTGCTGTTAAATTAACTGTTCTATTCTAATGTTTACTTTATGTCCAACAGTTTCTTATGTGTTTCTCTCTGAGTGATCTGTCCTTCATAGAAAGTGGTAGATCAAAGTCCTATACTGTTACTGCATTGCAGCCTATCATCTTTCAAAACTATTAATATCTGTTTTAAATGTTTAGATGCAATAATGTTGGGTGCCTATGTATTTACAAGTGTTATATCCTTTCAATGAATTAACCCATTTATAATTATATAATGACATTTTTGTCTTATTTTGCAATTGTTTTAAATTTAAGTTGTATTTTACCTGATATAAGTACAAGATACTCCTGCTCTCTCTTGATTTCAATTGGCAGGCAACATTTGATTATATCCCTTCCTTTACAGGTTATATGTGTCTTTACATGTAAAACAAGTCTCTTGTATGCAGCATAAATTTTTTTATTTTAACTACTCATTCAGGTATACTGTGCCTTTGATTTTGGAGAACTTTATTTACCTTTAAGTTAATTAAGTTATATTTAGTACTCCCATTTTTGTTCACTTTTTCCTGGTTGCTTTATATATCCTTTGCTTCTTTCATCCTGTCTTCCTTTGTAATTAAGTGAATTTTCTCTGATGGTATGCTTTCATTCCTTTTTTCTTTACCTTTTTGTAACTATTATGGTTACCATGTGGTAACTTTACTTTGTGGTTACCATGATAATACATAACACCTTTTTATTTTCAAGGCCAAATACTGAATTCAGGGCCGTGTGAATGCTAGGCAAGTGCTCTTCCCCTGAGCTAAATTCCCAACCCTTGCATAACACATCTTAAACAGCTATTTCTAAGCTCATTACAAATTATCTTTGATCACATGTATAACTCTTTAATTGGATTCCAGTACCACCTCTCAGATATTAAATAGTCAGTGTCACAATGTACATAGTTTGTTGAATCTGTGAACAAATTATTGGGGCTATTGCTATTTTTAAGGATTTTATTTTCTAACATTCATGCTAAAGGTATACGTAATTTGCAGAACATTATTACAGTGCTAGAATATTCTGAATTTGACCATATCCTTCTTTTTACTGATGAATTTTTACCTTTATATGTTTTTGTTTTACTCATTAATGTTCTTTTCTTTTTCCTGAACAACTCTCTTCAGAATTTTATGAAATACAGGTTTGACAGTTATGAACTTCCTCTGTTTCGCTTGTCTCGGACAGTCTATATTTTTCTATTTCTGAAGAACATCTTTATTTAGCCCTCTATTCTTGCTTGGGACATTTTTTCCCTTCAGCTCTTTCAATTCATCTTCTTATTCTCTCCTGGCCTGTGAGGTCTCTGCTGAGAAGTCTTATAATCCCTTGTGTGTTATTTGCTTTTTTTCTCTTGATTTCAGCATTCTCCCTTTGTGCTTGACTTTTTACAGTTTCCTTAAGATGTCTTGGTGTCTTATTTGAATTAAATGTGATTGGCAACTTTGACCTTCCTATACCTGGATATTTTATCCATATTCAGAAAATTACTCTTACACTATTTTTTTAAATAAGTATTCTGTGTTTTCTTTCTTTTCTGCTTCACAAACTTCTCTAACTTAAATATTCACTTTTAATTCTTTCCAATAGGTTCTATAATCTTTATTCTTTTGTTTTTACCCATATTTCTTTATCTCTCTATAGATTTTTAAATAACCTATATTTGAGTTCCCAAATTCTTTTTACTTTATCAATTCTCCTATTGCTTTTTCTATTGTATTTTTCATTGAATTCATTATACTCATTTCCAAACTTCATTTTATTTAGTTTTTTAAAAATTGGAATTTTTATGTTAAAATTACATTTTAATCATTTATCATTGTTATTGTTTTCCAGTAATTTCCGTAAATTCGCTTAATTTCTTTAAAATGTTTGTTTTTAATTCTTTGTTAGGTTGCATATCTCTATTTCTTTTGAGTAAACTACATTGAGACTTTTGTGTTTTTAGTGATATAGTTCTTAAATTTTTCATGTTTCTTATTCCGTTAATAGAATTTCTGTGCATTTGAAGGAGAAACCCATTTCAATCTTCTCAGATTTACATTGCCTGAAAAAGATCTGTACACGTGCAGAAGATCTGTCAGGATTTTATCTTGTGTCGTGGTAGTTGGTTGAAATGCCTTGTTGCTGGAGTCCTTCAACAGTGTTGGCTGGTCATTTAGTTAGCAAAGAGCAGGCCTAGAATGTAGGTCCAGGGGGTGAACTTGTTGACTGGATCTCCATAGGTTCTGAAGTCCAGGTCCATGAGGATGGACTCAGAACCTAGGTTAATAGAAGTTGGTCTAGAAATTCATGTTTCAGTCTGAAGCCTGGATCCGTAGAAGTTGACTTAGACCTCAGTTTGCCCAGAGCCTTATACCACTATGACAAGACTTGAGCCAGAATTATTGGAGTGTACCAGGAGCCTGGATCTATAGGTATGTTGTATGGCCTCAGTGTATGTAGTTCAGCCTGACATTGAGGACAACCAGGTGAGTCTAGACCTTGGGTACACTGAAGCACAGTTCCCTGGTGCCATGGGAACTACCCAGACAGGAGCCATGGGTTTGATCTGTGCTGGATATATTTGGATCCTGTGTCTACAAGGACTAACATGGAGGACAGAGAGGAAAAATTACTTATGTTTCTTTCAAGGACAAAAATGTTTCTTTGCTTGAGAAATGACTATATGTAGGTATATACTCTCTTTATCCTAATAATCCTGTTATCAACATTGTACCATATACCTTTATTTAAACAGAATGCACAAGGAAGTTGCTTTGTTTATCAGAAAATACACAGAACAAATAAAATTTTCTTCTGTTGAAGTCTAAATCTCTTGTGAGCAACTTTATTGTGGCATTTCTTTGTTTGGGTGAATCACTGAAAGCACAAAAACATATGCCTGAATCGTAGAGGTTTTCCACTGCATTTTGTTGCTGTGATAAAAACGGGTGCGCAGGATTGAGCGAATTTATAGGCCAGTTCAATGTGCTAACCTGTCATTTGCTGAAAACTTTCTGTAGTACCTTCACTTTTGGATATTGTACTGCCCTCTCCTAACTGATAATTTATCACTAATGGATGTTTCAAAAAACAAAATGATTGAGACTCTGAGGGATACTATCATTTCTACTTTCCCCTAGAAGATAATTTCAAATTTTATTATATGAAATGTGAAGTTGATATATGGTGATTAATTCAGATGCAGATAGATGTAAGATTGCTGAAATGATATGTCAATATGGGAGTAATTTTGTCATTTAAATGGACTTTGTAATGAAATAATTTTACCATTTTTTGCATCATTAGTCAAATTTTCTGATTCACTGGTGTGAAAATCCAGTGTCATTAGTACTAATCTGAACTCTCTTCCTCCATGTTTTTATCTTACAGTGGCTGCTAACTTGCAGAAGATCATAGATGATCCCAAAGCTTTAAAAACATTGACATTTAATTTGGTAAGTGGGAAACTATAGAAAAAGGGTAATATTTTGCCATATTGATGACATCAACAATTAAGAATATAGTTTAATAACCCCTTCTGTAATTTTGATGTTGTTTTGGGATCGATGTTTGCTTTCATCATTACTTTTCTTAAGTATATTGGAACATTGTCTGATCATGAGTAGACATTTCCTATGTCATGAATATCCTCATTCTTCCAAAAACACATCTTTGACTAAATTGTGGACATTTAGGAATTGTCAAGCCTGTATGTTCATTTGGCTTTTAGTTTGTATGGCAACTTGACATATATATAAAATTAAAGTCATTTCAAAGCAACACTATTACTAAAGCTTTCACGAGGTGAAAGGCAGGCGATTCTAACTTTAAAAACTAGAGGCTGATGGTTGTGGAAATGGGTTAGGTAATTGGAAATGATTGAAGAACAGCTCTCCAAAGGCTACTGAACAAAAACATCACCCTTTATACTCACTTTTCAAATCACAATACAGGTTTTTTTTTTTAGTGAGCAGATATTCCAATAGTTTTTATGTACTCATAGATTTTAAATTGAAAGTCTGGATGGCTGCAGAGCTACAGAATCCTAGGGTAATTGTGAGGAGAAGAGATGATGGTCATGGCTGGAAATAGAGAAGACCAGATATTCAAAATTGACTCCTGAAAGTTTTAGCAAACAGTACTTTAAGGCGGAATAACTGGCTCATTTTAAAATTATGAATTAATCTTGTAAAGAGCCAATCAGAATGCCACAAACAATTTAGGATTTGGATTACTAGCATTTTGCTGTACACAATGTATATTAGGTAAGCTGTCTTTTTTGTCTCTTGTGAAAATTAAGTGGAAAATGTGTGTGGCCAAAAATGCTAAATGACCAGTTATAGTAAATGTGAGCCTAGTGCTAATTAACTTTCTGGCTCTTGCTTCTCATTTAATTTCAGATAACTAGACTGTGTGATAAGAGAAAAAAACAATTTTCACTGAAAGAGTGAATCTGAATACATTATTTTTCTTTTGTTAATAAGAGAACATTTTCTTCAAGACAGAGTGCTAGGTTAACAATTTGCCAAATCCATGGTTGGGAACTATATTCTCACTTCTACTGTGTTTCTAATTTACCTGTGATATAAATGTTCCTATATTAATTTATTATACCATTTCCAGAACACTTCTCTGATTTTGGATATGGGTTGAAATAAGCATTTGAAGTTTTCACACTGGCTACTGTACTGTCTGTATGTAAACAAGAAGAATAATGTAACACTCTCCCTCATCTCCTTCTCCTATCAATTCATAAGTTTACTACAGTCTATTGTGATGATGATTCTCCTCAACTTCTCCATTTCCAGAACCTTAGCAGAACACTGTAATCTGCAGAAATTGGTCCCTCTGCTGACACTTGGCCAGTACCCAGCACTGTGTATGTACCCTCTGTGGCTGTAATCAGAGTAATCCTTCTGCAGTTCTAAAAGGTCCCAAAGATGTTTATAGCTCTCCTTTCACAAACTCACACCCTTAAACATACCTCAAAGCCCTCCCTGATCAGACCTACCTTTAGATCCCTGTGCACTTTGTCTCTGATCGAGGGTCCCTTTATGCCTTGGGAACCCAAGGCTCAGTGTGTTAAACGCGGCCAGGACCACAACCTGGAAGCTGCAGATTCAACTCCAGTCTAGCTTCACAGCCCTTATTGATCTCCCCTGAGGCAGGCCCCCTGTCTCATGGTTACAGTGCCTAGTGTATGTCCATGAGAATACTTGCTTCACATGAGAATACTTGGTTCAAGTAAGATAAAAAATGAGTTGTCTAAGATGAGAACTATATCTGAGATAGCAGGGTTATGATGTGCTATTTTACGTATCTGTTAAAATTTGTCCATCTGGGCCAGCAAGACCCCCAGATGATAAAGTATCAGCTTTTGTAAAATAAAATATCAGCGTATGTAAAATAAAATGCATAGTTAAAACAACTGTATTTATTTGGATTTTTAAATTTTTTTTATTAGTTTTGATGAACCTTTGTTTTATTTACCTATTTATATGTGGTGCTGAGAATTGAACCCAGTGCCTCATAAATGCTAGGCAAGCTACCACTGAGCCACAACCCCAGCCCTCATTTGGCTTTTTTTTTTTTGTAAAAATTATAACACTAAATTCATACAAATACATATTTATATGTATATGTATATACATACACACACACTCACACACGCACACACATACACACACACTGTCACCACACTGTAAAACAAATTAATAGTGCTAAGGTAAATTGCATCCCATGGATTACATATGTTTTAAATTTTATACTACATTAGCCATAAAAATACATCTATTTAGTATTTAAATTATTTTTAATGCATAATTTAAAACAACAAAGGAAAAGCAGACAAATAAAATTGTCAGCTTTTGTTTTAAAAATTTGCTTAGCTGTCACTTTCTGAACTTTTCTGTACCAGGTGTTTCAAATCATGTTAGATTCAAATATTACAGTTGTGTGTTTCATATAACTTTCCTCTGAGTTACACCATTCACAATTCCAGAATACATTCTATAAATTTGATTTTGCCCTTAATAATTTACTGTGCTGGAAGTTGTATCAAAATAAGTTATAGAAGCCAATTGACATTTATACTATCAAATATGCCTCATATATGAAATAAATATGATGGATTTATGATTCTTAGAAAACATACAATTTTGTTAAAAGTTAAAATTTAGTATCCAGGATTTTATGCCAATACTAAAACCTGTGATCAAAAGCTCATGTAACAAACCATGTCAGAATGAAATATTTGCCTGAATATTTTCATAACTTCTTTATGAAAATGTAAACTGTACATTTTCTAAAATAGTGAGACAGGCAAATTTTGTTTCCCCTAATATCCTTCATATTTTTAAATATATGTATTCAAAGACTTTTAATGAATTTTCAATACTATATTTTCATGTAAAGTGAAAATGAGGAACATACTCAGACTTAATTTAAATTAATAAATTAATGAAATATGAACAATTGCTGGAATTTGTAATAATTCTTGTGAAACGCATGTGTTCTAGGTGTACCTAGATGATAACACA